CTTCTGACATACATCAAAGAAATGATTGCTGTTTGTGTCACAACCGCAGTCCATCTAGTTCTGCTTTCTGCCACCAGGATCCAGCCTTTCAGGTACCCAAGAAAGACTTTTGAAAGAAATATAGATGTATATTAATTTATTCTTGTTCTCATATTAGGTCTTTTACTTCTAAAACTCAGAAGTTAGCTTCTGAATAAAGAAAAATCCTTATTATTCTTCATAATAAATCTATTAGCATTCAGTATAATTGATATGCATCAGTTTGTGTCTTCTCTAAACAATTAGAAAGATGAGAAAAAAAGATGTTGGTCTTCTCAATACTTTGTAGTATCAGCAATTATTTCAGCAGCTCCCATGAATTCCTTTAAATGTTATGTTAACCCTTGCAGATTTTTCACATATTCCTCCTTTTAGCTGTATGCCATGGAACTTCAAGTAATAAGTCCAAATCAACAACTTCCAAGTTTTAAATTAAATAAAGGCAGCCGCTGTAGCAGAAATGCTAAGACATGGCTTGAAGCAGTGACTGAGCACCTGGTAGGAAGGTGGGGCCAAGCCAGGGGAGCTCAGGTGCATGTGATGTACTTGAATGACTGCACCTGGTGGAGCCAGGATCCACCCCTTCCCAGACTTCCTTTAAGGGTTGGCAGTGAAGGTAAGGGTATCTTGTTGGAGATCCCTGCATATCTGAAGCCTTCTGAAGATAAGCACTTTTTCTTTTTATCTCTGTGCTTACAACTGTTGCGTTTGAGTAAATCCTCTCTTGTTGCAGCCTAGGATCTTGCTACTCTGCTGTCATTGCTGTGCTTTCTGTTCTGTTATAGCTACTGATACTTAAATGTACTGAAAGTCAGTGAGGCATTGAAGGACTGGAAAAAATATGTCTTTGGTTATTAAGGAAAAACTCAGCCAATACTGAGACCAATAAGCTTTTGTGAGAGGAGAATTCTAAGTTGTGAAGTTAGTGTGATTGTTTTGTGTGTTATTGGGTAACAGGTATTTTAAGGTGAAAATAATGGCGTTACAATGCTTCTTTCTTGAGTGACAGGCATAAAAACTTTCTGTGAGAATCCACATCACAGGCAGAAAGGGGGCAACCAGATACAAAGAGCTGCAAAACCATTAAGAGTTTTCATTATCTTCCTGGGTCAGGATGCTAACGCTGATCAGATCTTCATGATCTTATTTGCTTAAATGCAATTTCTTATACTGCTGTGCTTTTCAGAAAAAGTCTTAGGTCTTCACATTTCTGGACAACCAACAGCTCTTCTGTGAATAAGTTTGTTCAAATATGTAACCGCTTTTTTTATTTAGAGGGCAATCTTTTTGTTATATTTCTCAAATTAATTAGTCAAGAAATCATCAGGAAACCTTTCTGTGTATTTTCTTTTCTTTTTTTTTTTTCTCCCCTCAAATTCATAAAAAAAAGGAAAGATGGGGGAAAAAATGCTGTTTTCCATGTGCGTCCCTGACAAAATTTCTTGGGGGGGGGGGGGGGAAAGTATGCGTGAACTAATTAATAAGTTTAAAATGACTAACATGGAAATAAGCTTTACTTTTGATTTTTCAGTCACCATTTTAAGTTGCTTGTTCAAGCTCCCACTGAAGTCCTTAATGATTTTGACACTGATTTTAATAAAGTCACAGTTTGATCCTCTGGGAGCTCATGGTTGTTTCCGGGCACAAGGTATGAAGAAACACGAGGGCAAGTACATGTGTGTTGGTGAGAGCAGGTGGACCACACCTCTGTTCTTCGTCCAAAAGCTACATACTCAGCAAGATTCTTTAGATTCCATCAGGGCTGGGTGGAAAGAGGGCTTTGACAACTGAAGACTTTATAAAAATGAACCCTCTAAAATGTGCACCAGACAATTGCAGTCAAAACTTCTATCTTCTGGAAACAGCTATTTTCTACTAGCAGTACAAAGAAAATACACCTGATTATAGTGGATCTCTTTGTAGCGGGATTGAGAATAATCAGATGCACGAGCATTTGCTGTATACTATTGGTTTCATCATGTATACTTGCGTTTTTTTTTTCCTCCTCAGAAACAAAATGGTCTACAGTGAAGTAGGAAAGCTTCCTAACTTTTATTTATTTGCTTTTTCTTCTTTTAGTCTAATGACACAAGCCACATGTTAGATCAAAAATGAAGCAGAGCGTGCTGTAGGACAAAACAACACTGTTTAAAATTACAGCACTGTTAAACTACCAGGCTTCACAGGCACATGATTTTTTATTTATTTTTTTTTTTTTTAACTGAGCAAGCAAAAGCATTCCTTTTACAAGGAGAAATTAGTTACCAGAGCAAGATCATACAGCGTAGTAGGGGAGCCTGCTGTTACTTGCTGAAATAACGTCAGAACTGAAAGGAGGAGGTATTAAATGTAATTCCCTGCTGGTTGCTCTCTTAAGGCACAGGCAGCTCTCAACTGGAGTCCTGCTAGTTGCAATCAAAGTTTGCCTTAAGAGACCTTTTCCACCATAAACCCATTTGCAGCTGCAGCAGCAAACCACAAAGCTCTTATTAAATTTAGGTGCACTCCTGGAAGTCTTTGCAAGGGAGGACCTTGAGTTCCATTGCTTCTACAGTATGTACGCATGGTTAGCAGGTACAGGGTGGTGATTCTACTGCTCTTCCCTGCTCTGCTGAGACCTCACTGGGACTACTGCCTACAGATGTGGGGTCCTCAGGACAGGAGAGACATGGACCTGTTGGAGCGCACCCAGAGGAGGGCTGAAAAAATGATCTGAGGAGTAGAAAACCTCTCCTACAGGCTGAGAGAGTGGGGGCTGTTCAGTCTGGACAGAAAAAGGCTCTGGGGAGACCTGATAGCAGCCTTTCAGTATCTAAAGGGGGACTGTAAGAATGAGGGGGTCTGTTGTGTTAGGGCGAAAGGAAATGATTTCAAACTACAGGATGGGAGATTTAGACTGGATATAGGGAATAAGTTGTTGTTGGTTTTTCCTGTTTGTTTGTTTTTTTTTACAACCAGGGTAGTGAGGCACTGGTGCAGGTTGCCAGGTGATGGATACCCCATCCCAGGAGACATCCAAGATCAAACGGTTGGGGCTCTGTGTAATCTAATCTGCTGAGGTGTCCCTGTTCATTGAAGGGCAGTTGGACTAGGATGACCTTTCAGTTGGAAGGGATGATTAAATGATTCTATGGCTGTAATTTCTACTTCACAGCATTGCAGGCTGGCTGAGGTTGGCAGGGACCTGGGGGTCCCAATCCCCTGCTCATCCAGCAATGCCCAGAGCAGGCTGCCCAGGGCCACGTCCTGGGTGCTTTTGAAGACCTCTGTCTTCCTCGCTCTTTCCTTCCAGGTGCAATTGATGATGCACTGCTGAATGCCTCCCGAACCTGCTCCTCTCCCAGCTGCTCACTCTCAGGAGAGGTGCCTCGACTCCAGCTCTCCTTTCTCCTCTTGTTTAACCTCCCTCCCGCGCGCAGGCTGCAGCTGCGGGCATTGTTTTACCTCACGGATGGCGGGAGCCCGCTGAAGCCCCCCAAATCAGTGCCCCAGCCCGCGCAGCAGCAACGGGGCTCTGCCTGGCAACGGCGGCCTCCCGGGGAGGAGCCCTGCGAGCATAGCTGCCCGCCTTCCCCTCGGGGCTACCGGTGAAGACGCGCTCCCCCTCACAGCGTTTATAGGGCATTTTGAAAGCTCTTTCAACGGCTTCTATTTATAGCTCGCCTGTGTTAATTTTAGCTCTCAGCCGGCTCTCTGCAGCGGTAAAGGTTGTCGGAGTGCGTGTGGGGAGCCTGAAAGCTGCTCGCCCTCCCCAGGCACATCTCGGAACAAGAGCTGCGAGAGCTTTCAGAAGGTTGATGAGGGATGAAGGAGCGATAAAATGTGTCAGCCCATCAGATTAAATATTTAGATCTGCTGCGGCTGCTGACAAACATCGTGCTTCTGCAGACGAGCCTCTGTGAATGATGTGGTGGGGAAGCCTGGATGGAACAAACAGAGCAGCGATGTTCACTCAGGAAATGGGCAGCAGAATGCGTCCAGGGCGATATTTCTCTTGGAAGGTGCTATAAAAAAAAAAAGTAAGATTTAGGAAGCAGTAATGCACCCTGTGTGTTCAGTGCTAAGGTTATGATTGGTAAGGAGCCAGTAGGAAAGCAAATTGCTGGGCTGTAGGAATAAAATTCTAGCAGGGGAGTTGGACTTGATGATCTCCAGAGGTCACTTCCAACACCCACAGTTTGGTGATTCTGTGAACAGCTGAAGCACAGGTGTCAGTCATAAAAGTGTGCTCAGCTATCAATATCTGATCTTTAACATCTTAGAAATGGGCAATAGGAGGAGGAGCTTTTCTTTTTTTTTTTTTTTTTTTTTGGAGAATGCGTGCATATCCTGAAGAATGTCCTCCCTCTCCTTGGGTAATTGAATTCACATTGTGCCTTAAGGGAGCTGCGTGTGTGTAATGAACCAGTGTACAGCCCAGAGCATGGCCATTCCATCACCAAGTCTGTTATGTGCTTTAAGTGACCAAAAGATGGACTAGGTTTTGTGTGAGCACTACTCTGAAATTTTCTGCATTTCTTAAAAAAGTGGTTATTCAGATCTGCTTTTTGGGTGATGTTATATCCGAAAGAAATTGTTGACAAGTTGTGTCACAGCTAAACTGAAACTGAGGAACTCTCAGTGGATGAATTGCAGGCCACAGTAGCAGGCGGGAATGTCCAAATACCACAGGCATATTGATACCATTCCATATTGATCACTGATGTGTCTTAGATACAGTTAAAGGGTTTTAAACATCAGTAGAACGCTGTGGAAAATAGTATAAGCTGCAGAAGATATGTTACACCAGTCTCTTGCTATATGTTTTACATAGAGTGATGCTGCTGTTCCAAAGTCATCCAAGTGACATCCCCCTTTGAAAGGTGTCTTGAGTCTAAGTGGCATTTTGAGCAAGGATGTACAACTTTATTGCTTTATTCTATATACAGGAGGGGACTTAAACAGTTTTCTAAAACATGGTTTAATATTTCTAGCAACTTCAAAAAAATATATATGCCCAGGTAGTAAGTGGAAGATAAACTTTATCTCCCTAACAGACTTCAGATGAAACCAAGCAACTATAAACTTTATCTGCTAGCTTTGTGTCTTCTAGCAGATAACAGGTGGCAAATGCTTTGAAGGATGGGTACGCTATGTTTTAAATCTCACTGAGGCAGTGAGACCTTTAATTACCCCATGGTTCTGTTGATGATGGTGAAGAGCTATAGCTCATATTCCCTCAGTTATGTTGGTGCAGCAAGAATAACAAGCAACTTTTTAAAAAAGTATTTTTGTTACTGAAGTCAGCACTTGCATCTCTGAATTCACACCAGGAACAGATGTGATAAGAAGACACCATTTATATGCATTCATTGTTTGGGATTGAACTGTGCTTAAGAGAAAGTTGCGTGGAGAGAAGTCTGTGATGAAGAAAAGCTCTTTTTAATCTGCTGATTCTTTGGAACTGGGACAAGGTTTTTATGGCTTTTAAGCAGCCATTTTTCCCTTATCAGTCATTGTTTTGATTGAAGAGATGGAAAAATGAAGTGAGCAACTCACAAAGAAGATATAGAACTGTTTTGAAGAGCTTCATTTTCAAATACTCCTCTTGGAATCAAGTCTGTCACACAGATTGGAAATCAGAACCATCCTCTGTGAACAGGTAAGTTCTGATATTTTTATTGCCTTTTAATCTAATGAACAGATTTCTAGCTTCTATTTAAATTAACATATGCTGGCACTCTTGTAAATGAAAAAAGGTTTATTGGAAGCAGAGTGTTAAGGTAATCTAGAAGGTTGAATAAGCAAGAGGTAAAGAACACTGAAGAGAAAATTGCTGTTTAGTCTCTATAGACAGGAAAAAAAGTGGTTTTTTTATTTGCTTTCCTTAGGACTTAGCTGCTGGTAGGCTGCTGGCTGTGATGGCATTTTGCTTAGATTCCTAATTTTTTTCAACACTGTAGGAAGATTTTCTGATGACTCTGTTCTGCAGGAAGAAGGCAGTGACAACTTTGGTGCCTGTGCAGAATCTAATCTGATATGCATTTGAGCAATATTAGTTTCACACCTGAAGGGAGAGATGCAACTCTTTCAAAGTGATTTGATCAAAGTTATACTAAATGTTTGGTTTCACCAATGTAGCTCTGCATTAAGCAACATTACACTTCAACTCACACGTTTGAGTAAAAACTTTTGAACTTTAAACTTGGTTATTGTGATATTTCAGTTATGTTGTTTTCACTTTTTCTGGTCAAGCTCAATCAGGAAGCAAAAGTATGGTTCTGTAACCTTCAGTGAAGTAAGTAGTAGCGCAGTTTTGGGGGAGCTTCTATTGCTTTAGGGACCACAGAAATGGGCACTTATTTGGTTCTTAGAGATTTAATTATTTAGTAAAATAGAGAGTTCTATAGAAATTCAGTATTGTTGGATTTTTCATGAGGCAGAACAACTAAACAAACAATTGAATGATCTAGCAGCAGCAGGAGATCTGCTAATGCAAATACTTAGTGGAGTGACTCATAAAAACAAGCCAAAAGAAAAACATTAACCAGCTTGCCCTTCCTTTTCTCTCTCCCTTCCTAACACCCCTCTCTCCACCTCCTCTATCTTGAATGCACAAGCAGATCTACACCAGAAAGTAGGAAAAAACTTCCATGTTGTGCACTCAAAAAGATAGGTAAAGGAGGTAACAGTGAGATGCTATTCCACCTTAAAACCTAGACTGATCTATGAGAGATGTCCTCTTGCTGTACTGCTGAAGAGGTCTGAAGTACTTCTGTTCTGACTACGCTCTTTAGTGTGTAGTGCTAATCCTACTATTGCTGAGAATACTGTAGTAAAACAAACATAAAGACTCAACTTTCAAATGGAGTTGTACTAGCAAAATTCTTCAGAGGCTTTAAACCATAATTTTCAGAAGTATAAATATTGTAAGCGGAGACTCTAAACCTTTGGCAATCTGGGATTTTCATAGGAATCCTTCTGCCTTCTTTCTTTCAGTAGACGCTATCATAAGCTGGAGGTACTGTACTGTATTTGTAGTTTTCTATGAAGTTTTCTGTGGCCTTACTATTGTAAAATTTCTTTGCAGAAAGCTGCAGTTACATGAGTTTAACGTAACTTCTATATCATGAAGTGGTAGCAGTAGTCAAGGATGCCATCTGAATCAGCGTGACATTCGATCTTTTAGGTGTAGGCTACTTATAGTACAGGAATTTAAACATACTATTGTCTGTGGTTGCCACAAACAAATCTATCACTGAGGAAGTAGACCATTCCCTTAAGCAACTCTCTGAAGCGTGAGTTTTACTTTAGAGATCATGCCAATTGCCAGCTCTTATGCTACCCTGTGAACATTAATGGAGGTTGTGCACCTTGCAAATTCAAGCACACAATAAAGACTGCAGGCTATTTTTCAGACTGTTTTCATCACATTTCTTTTTCATTTAGTATAAACTACATGTTGTGAAAAATCTACATTCTCGCTTATAACTAAGCTAAGCTGATTAATACTTACAGACATATTCACATCTGCTCATTTATTTCCAGAATATGTCTGAATGGTGTAGTTGTAAGTTACTCTTATTGTTGCTGAAATTTTAAAAGTAATGTCTATCCTTCTTGTTTCTCATCTAATATATAAATAGCCTGATATGCTTCTTGGAAACCTTTTAAATTCAGCCTGTGATAAACTAGTATAGGAATATGTTTCTAAAATACATGTTTCCAACCACTGGAAGGAAGTTCAAACATCTTTATCATTAATTCGCAGTAACGATCTAGAAACTCAAACCTGCAGGAAGGATAAAAATATAGTGACAAGCCTTAAATAACTTGTTGACAGAGAAGTTTTATGAGTAAATTTAGCCTCAGTCTCAGCAACTGTGACTGTTTACCACTCTTTTTTTTTTTTGTGGCATTGTACTCAGATGTGTACTATTTCTGTGTGTGCCTGTGTAATAGACAGTGTCTCTTGATCTTTCATAGAAGTCTGTGTATGAATGCAATGCTGTAAGGAAAAGCAACATTTGGGAATTGAAGCAAGAAATCTATACACCATGCTTAAAAGTACACCATTAACTCATTCTGTAGACTTTTTAAGCAGGGCTGGTAAGTTCTACACACCCTGAAGTAATGGCACAAATTTGGCATTACAGATATAAATAAAGTACCTGAGTCAAGATGATCCTGTCCACCAGCATATGGAGTATTACAGTAATTTAGTCTCTATGCTGGCTCTCAAGACACAAATTTCCAATCTGGTAGAGACTACCTCTAGGCCCTTTGATAATGTTAGGCTTGGACTAGGGACTTAACACCTTCAGCTCGGTTACTGAAGCACTGCTTTCTATATTAACTGCAGAAGATACCTTTGCATAGCAAAAAGAACTATTAAAGTCTATTATTTTTTTTTATTATTATTATTATTATTATTTTTTTTTTTTTACAGAAAAGCTTGATCAAATATCATTTTGCAAGGTGAGAATCACATTTCCAAAATTAAACCCATGACTCAGTGCTTCCAAACCCTTCACAGTCAAAGATGCTGATGGATATCTGGGATTTAATTCATGGTAGTGAGAGCAATTCAAGTCATTGCTATCATTATTCAGTAATGTAATTATTTTTATTGATTAGTTTAAAAATAACTATTGTTGAAAATCTTATTAAAAAACTCTAAATCTTAAATTGGATGCAGATGGGTGATCACTGTTGAAATAAAGTGCGGAAGTACCCATTTAATTCTTATTTAAAATGCACGTTCCATGACACTGACACTGCTATGTCATGCGTTACCTTGGCTGAAACATGTTGCTTAAATCACCATGAAGACCTCTTCTCTGAATTGTGCAAGAGACCTGGTGATTGCTTCCCAGCAGTGATGAGAATGAGTTATGAGCTTCTCTGCCTCTTCCTAAAATAACAGGGAATGAATTTCTTGTGGGCAAACACTTGACTCATTCTTCTTGGAATTGACAGCTTACCACACAGGACTTGGAGGCTGCTCCATGAACCAGTTGTAGTTCACAGGAGGAAGAAGCCTTCAGAGGAGTTCAGGCACTCAAAGAATAACATTCTTGGCCAAAAATAACCCTGAGCACTGACAACAAATTATATTATTTAAAAAAAAAAAAAAAAAAAAAAAACAAAACAACCAACAAACTCGTTTATTTGTAAATCTGTTGCAGCAACATGTACTTCCAGACATATCTGAGAGATGAATGGTACGTCCATCTTTGTTTCTTCACTCTTCTGTTTCCATGTAAAGCTGCTTCTCAGCTAAACCAGGGCTGCGTATGATACATCGCTTATGATCACATGAGCTATGTCAGCTGCTGCTGGTGAAGACCCTTGTGCAGGAAGGTAAGAATGGCTGCCCTAGGGTGACTGTAAGGATACAGTAGTGACCTCACCTCCACAGAAGGACTGAGAAAAATGAGAGTGAAGGAAATGACAGAAATGTAACAAGGACAGTCCTGCAGTACAGAGAGAATGGTTAGTCTCTATTTGGGGAATGTGGGAAGGATGGGTCTATAGAATGGTGAGTAGCAATGTGGTGCACTCCATTGCATTGTGGGTTTCAGTACTGGTTTGTGTGAACATGGGTTTGGGGATGAATATCATTCAGGATGGTGTAAGTAATATCTCTCCTGTTTTGTTCATGCACTTGTGAACTGGAGGTCAACTTTTCACCCTTTTCATCCACTGCTGCTGTATGTTCTTCCCTCAGTTCAGTAGCTGACTCTGGGAGAACGGCATGGCAAAGTGTTTTTTGGATCTATGCAGTTTGTCCTGACTGACAGGCCTTCTGCTGACTCTTTGGCATGACATAGGAAATGGCTCACTGGCAGCAGAAGGAATGTGTCCTCCTTGGAGATACAAATCCTTACTTGGATGAAGGAGCTGCTGTGTACTGCCAGCTAGCATTCTTGCTGATTGTTGTTTCCAAATTAAAAAATGATTTAACTCTGTGAGACAGTATGTGCTATGAGATGATGCTATGCCTTGGATCCTTATTGCATAGAGAGATAATAAAAAACAAGCCTATCCACACACCTTATTTTCTTCTTGTTCCCTTCCGTAGTTTCTTGCAACCACTTCTTCCTGGCAGCTGTAAAGCATTCTTTCCTCCCTCACACTTTTACACAGGGAGATGAAGTGAGTGACCAGCCTGCCAAGGGCAAAGAGAATGGTCTGAAAACATTTGGTGGTAGTGGGAATTAAAGTAGATGAATCAAGCATTCCTCAAAGTCATTCCCTGGCTTCTAAAAATATGCAATTCCAGTAGTGATACTACAGAAAGAATAATCTTTCCCACTGCTGGGAACATTTTAGGAATCCCTGCTCCAGAAAGTACACTTAGTATCCTGCCTGTGTGCTGTCAAATCAGCCTTCATTCCAGAGATGACAGGAGTCTCTAAGGAACGAATAAGTTTTTTATTCCAGAGTATTAGTACCCTGAGGCTGATCTCTGTAAACTGTCTACAGCTGACACTCCTCTGCACTGGGAAATGGCATTCATGTTGGAACAGGAATGCAGGAAATTAATGTGGTAAGAAACACAATGCTAAAGACAACTGTCTATATTTACAGTTGGGCTCTCATTTGTGCTGAACACTGTTTACCTACACAGGGAACTTTATAAAGGGATTGTGAAGCAGA